GTGCACATCAAGGTTCCGACAGACAGTGCTCCAAACGCGAGGACTTCAAACGCATCCGAAAGCAGGCGTCAAGCAACAATCAACCAAGACGCAAGAAGGACAAAACCCCAGCATTCAGGACGGAGGATTTTCCGCCTCTTCGTGCTCCCCAGCAAAGGCAAGCGAATTCGCGGGTGCAACCCGCCCCTCCTCAAGAAGCTTCCGGTGATTCTGCTGGCCAAAGCTCTCCATCCCCCCCTGGATTCTGGAGACAACCAACAACGCAAAACAACAACCCCGATCTGTTCTCAGCGGATGAACTGATGGAAATTTTCGTCAACATGTCCGGTGCTCTTCGTAAGTGCCGCAATAAGCCCGAACAGATCCAAGTGCTCGGTAAGTTCATCATCCAGTATGGCGTCTAAACCGCTAACTATCGTCACCTGGAACGCTTGCTCCGTAAGAGCAAAAAGGATTGAGCTTGCCGACTTCCTCCGCAAGCACAGCATCGACGTGGGCCTTCTAACCGAGACCCATCTAAAGTCCGGCGACAGCTTCTGGTTGCCTGACCACAATATTATCCGGGTTGATCGCACCAGCTCCAGGGGGGGTGGTGTTGCGGTCGTCGTCAAGAAAGGAATAAAATACCACACTCTGTCCCATATCCGCACCTCTATCATCGAGGCCCTTGGTGTGGAGGTGGAGTCGTCGACTGGATACGTCCAGTTCATCGCCGTCTACTGCCCTCGACAGTGTGCCGTCAGCAGTGGACTAGCGGCTAAATTTAAGAAGGACCTGTCCACCATCACCCGTACCGGTTCCCGCTTCGTAGTTGGAGGAGATCTGAATGCTCGCCATGAGGCCTGGCGGAACTACCAGCAGAACCAGAACGGTCGTCTCCTGTTCGACCACTCACAGCATGGGCTGTATTCCGTTTGGTTTTCGGAAGAACCAACATTCATCTCACCGGCGGGTAACCCATCGACGCTAGACCTGTTCCTGACAAATATCGGCTTGTCCAAGCCGGTAGCCTTGAACGAACTCAGCTCCGACCACCAACCGGTGGTGTCTGAGCTGGGCTGCAACGTGGCTCCTGCTTCAAGCCTGCGCAAGAACTATCATCACGTAAACTGGGCCCAGTTTGGACGCGTGGTAGACAGGCACATCATCGACAACCCGCCGCTTGACACCGTGGAGGACATCGACCGAGCGTTGGAGGGACTCCACCAAGCCATAACCGTGGCTGACGAGACGTGCGTCCGACGAGTTCCTGTGAGGGGTAAGTTTATTGCTATTGATTCCCACACCCAACTCTTAATTCGCCTGAGAAATGTTCGTAGACGCCAGTTTCAGAGGACTGGAGATCAAGCGAGGAAACGTGAAATGGCCGATCTGAACAAGGAGATTGCTTCCAGAATGGTCTCACTCCGGAACGAAAGTTTCGGGCGGCTTGTTCAGAATCTGGACGACCGCTCCAGACCATTCTGGAAAGTTGCCAAGGTCTTAAAGACGCACCCTAAACCCATTCCGCCACTAAAAGATGAAAATGATGACGATCGGCTCATAATCACCCCTCAGGAGAAAGCAAATGCGATTGGTGAGCATATTGCCAAATCGCACATGCTTGGCTCCAACATCCAAAGTCCGCTTGAAGTTCAGGTTGAGCAATGCGTACTCAACCTTGATTCCTCCCCTTGTGCCATCCCTCCGGAGGATAGAATCACAGTGGAACAGATTTGCTCAGCGCTGAAATGCACCAAAAACATGAAGGCCCCCGGGTTTGACGGAATATTCAACCTAGTGTTGAAAAATCTCAGCATGAAGGTTCACTCTCTGCTGGCTGCTGTCTTCAACAGATGCTTGGAACTGCACTACTTTCCAAGTATCTGGAAGACAGCGAAAATCATACCTATCCGCAAACCCGGGAAGGACCCAACGCTAGCTTCAAGCTACAGACCAATCAGCCTCCTTTCAGCGCTGAGCAAATTGTTCGAGAAACTCATTCTCAATCGTTTGCTCAAGTTTGTCGAGGAAAATAACATTCTCCTTCCGGAACAGTTTGGGTTCAGAAAGGGGCACTCCACCAATCACCAGCTAGTGCGGGTGATGAATAACATCCGAAGCAACAAAGCTGTATCCAAGTCCACAGCCATGGCCTTGTTAGACGTTGAGAAAGCGTTTGATAATGTCTGGCACAATGGGCTTGTATACAAGCTTTGTAACTTCAACTTTCCATTACATCTGGTTAAAATCACCCGTAGCTACCTCCAGCAAAGGTCGTTTAAGGTATCGTTGAATGGTTGTTTTTCAGACACGTTTTCCATCCCAGCAGGTGTCCCGCAAGGCTGGGCCCCTTGCTTTACAGCATTTACACTTCCGACATTCCTCCCCTTGGAGACGGTTGCGTGTTTTTCCTGTTCGCAGATGATACCGCAATAGCCGTCAAAGGAAGGATGCCTCGCGAAATAACTAACAAACTTCAACGATACCTTAACGCCTTTGCTGATTATGCCACCACGTGGAAAATCAAAATCAATGCTTCCAAAACACAAACAATCATGTTCCTCCATCGACAATCACCCAAACTAAAACCGGCTCCCTCTTGTACTGTAATCATGGATGGCACAAGGGTTGAGTGGTCCACCGAAGTAACCTATCTCGGGATGTTGTTTGACGAAAAGCTCCTATTCCGCTCGCATGTGGAGAAAACCGTAGTCAAGTGTTCCGCCTTGGTTAGGTGTCTGTATCCGCTGATTTGCCGCAGATCCCGCCTCTCAAGGGTGAACAAACTGGCCGTCTACAAACAAATCATAGCACCTGCGATCCTCTACGCAGCTCCGGTGTGGGAATCATGTGCAAAGACTCACAGGAACAAAATTCAGGTAGCTCAGAATAGAGTGCTGAGGATGGTTCTTGATCGTCCTTTCGACACTAGAATAACAAATTTACATGAAGAGGCAGGCATTGCCAAAATAGATTCCAAAATTAACGAAATTAAGACTAAATTTGCACAAAAATGTAATTTATCAGAACATGCTTTGATAAGCAATTTGTATATAGTAGGTTAGGTGTACATAGTAGTTGTAGGTTAGTTGTAGTTGTAAATAGTAGTTATAAGTAGTCTCCTTTTTCCAATTCAAATTAAACCAATCCCACCAAGGTGGTCATACTTTAAAATAGGCCTGATAGGACTAGGAACTGTAAATAATAATTAAAATCTCAAATGTACTAAAGTTGAAAAGACGCATCTGTGTCACTTGAAAATTCATACATGTAAACCACACAATCACAAGAAATAAAGATCATTTAAATGGATCCAGGATATTATAATTGAGGCGCGGCATAGCAAGCCGTTCAGCATATTTCTCCAAGTAGGAGGAACTTACAATGCTAATCTAAGAGCATAAATAGAGGTAGCGTCAGATATTTTCAATGCAAGTCAGGTTTCTTTAAATTGTCTTATGTCTTTAAATTAGATAAGTATTTATTTCAGCAATTTGGAAAGTTCTTTCCTATCGATTTATATGTTTGTATTTAAATTTTTTCTATCAATTACCAGCTTAACACCTTTCCGTGATGGTCGTAATTTTAGATTTTAGATTTATCCCCCGTATCTTCCCGTAAGACGTAGTCTACGTCAAAAAAATTAAATCTAATTAGAGTAAATGATGGCTTCGGCTCCCATTGACTGTTTTCAGCAACCAAAATTTAAACGTCAGTTTCACTGTATTTTCTCACCAAAACACCACGCTGAATATATTCAAACAATTCCTTAGTCTTTCAGTTTCAATATGATTACATTTTTACTGCTGAGTAAACCTGTTATGCTAGGTTTTTCTTCAAATGAAATATACGCACTACAAAATACGGCTGATTTCGAGTTGTCGATAATAGAACAGCTGGTTAACACGCAGTTTAAATGGGAAGGTTGCCGAAGAAAACGAGGCTGCCGACAATAGTCACACTCAGCTGAGAAGTTTGGAGCGTTGTAAAAACGTTTTCAATCCGTTTTGAACAACCACGTCATATGTGTTTGTAACGATGAGAAATTTCTATTACAAGTGCGGACGAGAGTTTGTGAATTACCCTATTTTAAAACGATTTTATCCGACTCTTGATTTTTGTTAAAAAGGTCAAGAGAAATGTTTTTTTTTAATATTTAAAATTATGAAAACATTTGGTATTTTTTAGAAATAATTGTTAAAATTTTTTGCATGTTATTTATACTCAGAAAACAATGTTATTTTTTGAGGAAAATACACAAAACTGTGTTCTAACAAAAAGTTAAAAAAATACATGAACATTTTAAAAGTTGGATTTCTTTATGATTTTTTTTTAAATTTAAAATTGAACAAGGGCATTTTGAAATATTCTGGTATTCAACGTTGTTTTCAAATTTTTACTTGAAAATATTTAAACATAATTTTCGTATATTATTCCCAAGAAATCAATTTTCTCTACAGCTTTGTCTCATATCAATAAGCCGTTTTCGGGCTATAGATTTTTTTTATTTCATGAATGCCATTTTGAAAATTTTAAAAGATCTAAAATGGCCTAATTCTAGCAAAAATGTGAATCATTGCCCATAGCAAATACTTACGCAAAGCTTCACACAAATCGGAAAAGGTCTAATCAAAAATTAATTTTTTCCTCGTATTTTGTTTGGAACTTTTCAGGTACATTGTCTTCGGAGGAAATGTTCTTACAGTATAGCAAAATGATCTACAGGATAAAAAACATGCGCTTTTATACTAAATGCTTGTGATATTTATGAGCAAAATTGATGACCACTATCATTCTGACACCCAAATTAAGCATCTAAAATTGTGTTGTGCTATTGTATTGAAAATCTAAGAAGTGAGTAATTCCGAACGGATCAAATTTCGCCTTAACCGACCACGAAATATAAACGAGTTTCCATTAAAAAACACATCTTTTTGATTTCCGGAATGTGAGCTCATACCCCCAGCCTTTCACCTAGCACACGGCTTTGCCAAATTTCGTGCATCGTAAACACTCACCTGCCAAACGTCCATAGCGTTGAAACATCCGTTCGACGTCCGTCTTGGAGCACTGGAAGGTGTTCAAGTTGCCGACAAACACTCGCGAGTTCACTGCCTGCGGATCTTGCGAATTGGTTTGATTGGATAATTTTGACATCTTCATCCTGGCGGTGGCGTAATCTGCAAATATGAAAGAAAGACGCAAAAATGAAAAATTAATTCTCTCTTCGTCGAAGACGCCGACTAGACAGAGCCGGGGATTAAAGTCTTAAGAAACATTTAAATGAAAACTTTCCCATTATCGATTCCCACAGCGTCTGGCTCAAGGACCAAATAAAAAAGAAATGGAAAAGTAGTGCAAAAGAAAAGGAACGTGGTGAGCAAACATCTGTTTCAGTACTATGACACCGACAGACCAGACCTCCACCTGCCTCCCGTACATCCGACTGAATCGGTCGGCAAATACAGTCTCTTCGGTATGCATATCTATTTAAAAGTCCTTATTTAACATTCAATGCTGAGAAAACACAGAGTTGCAACTGTTGTATACACAGAAAGCCATCCTCGCCGCAAGGAATGGAATACAGGACAACTTTCAGGCGTGTTGCACGTGAGCAGCAGGAAGCCACTGATCCTCAAAGTGTTTCAGATACCTACTCCCACCAGCCGCCAACCAGTGACGATCCCTGAATAGTGGAATTCGAGAAATTAAAGTAAGGAGTAATTTATATTTATAGATCCTTGATGCTGCTCTACCGCTGTTGGCTGCTTCTCCAGGGCCGTTATAGTTTCAGTACCGTTGTGGTGCAATCAGACTGACGGTGAGATGTAACTACCCAACAAACAATTTTAGCTGCAGCTTAGCTTATACAGGCAAAAATTAGCTGCATAAGGCAAATTTTGGCTGTATAAGCTAATCTGCAGCTAAAATTGTTTGTTGGGTATGCACGTAACACCCACACACACGGAACACAGCTGGGAAAGAAGAAGTAGAATAGGAAGAAGAAGAAGGCACCATTGGAGGAAAGTAGCTTTTAATAGTTTTAATATTTCAATTTTCTGAACTACGGGCTGGCTGGGCTGGACCCGGTGCGCCGGAGTCTGGCGGGAATATTCATTCTCATGGACATTCATTTCAATTCATGCCAGCAGTTGTCTTCGTGGGATAGTTTTCGTGCCCTACCCATGTTCGGTATGTAGGTGGTGGCGATGTCATGCAATGGTACGATTGGGGAAAGTTTAAGCTGTAAAAGCTAGAGTAAACTTTAACATGCTTGAATTAGCTTACGAGCCAACTGTTGCTCGCCTTTAAAGATGTATGCATTGCGTTTTATGGATGCAACTTAAAGGATTATAATAGTGTTAGGTACAAGAAAGTGTACTTTGCTAACTTCAGGGGTGCTTGCTCTTTTTTGCAAATTATTAAGCATGGGATGCATATTTGAAGTAGAAGTTGGAAAATCTAGTATTCATTTATTAGAGTGTAGATTTTTTTTAGCTTCAATTTCACTGAAAGAAAAGCTTATATCCTATGTTTTCAAATAATTACAAAGTAAGGAAGCGCGTTTTTCAGCTCCAAATAATATATTTTGAATATGATGATACGAGAAGCTCTTTAAATTAACTCTATCATAAGGGCGATGGGTCATTTTCTACCATAATCGAAAGAATACATTGAATTTCTCCATAAAGACAACTACTTTAAAACCATGAACCACAATCCTACTTGACTGCAGATTTGAGTCCAAGCGGTTTGTTTAACCCATTAACGCCCAGTGACCTATTTATAGATCAGTTACATTTTTGATTACTGTCGAGAAACTAGAGCTCAAAGGTTAAACATGTCTTCACTACTATTGTTCTATGGACAATCTCTTGAAAATGGAAATCAATTTAGAATCAACTCACTACTTGGTACTGCGGTCTTCTGCAATGTTATTTTGATTACGATGCACAGAGGTCCAGAATGCATATTTAGCTGGAATGATATGTTTTGAGCCTGAAATTGAGACTATAGACTAAAAATCTCTTGTACAAAGTTGTTCCTTATAGTTAGGCCCTCATTTTTATGACAATGAATTCTAGGGTGGTTCTTATTATCATTAAAATCAAAAATCTAGCTTTTTTGTTTGGAGAAATTAAGGTATACATTTCTGGACAAAGTTATTGTTGAGCTAATTTCAAGCAACTTTGTATAGCACAACTTTTTAGTATCTCTTAAATTGACTGATTTAGAGCTTTTTCTTGAATTGAGTTAGAGTACACACTTAGATTATTTTACCGAAATCTGTGAAATTTTACCAAAATCTCAACAGCTGAACGTTCGGTAAACAGTTCGGTGATTTGTCACAGATTTCCTGTAATTTTTCACAGATATTCGGTGAAGATCAGGGAGGTCCTCAAATTAGGGAATTTTTAAAACTAACTTTTTTGTTTTACGAAATAAAAACATGTGTTGTTTAATTAACTTTGTCGAAGATTTTTTTTTTTTTCTATTTCTCAACGTTCTCATTTTAAAGTAATTTTGCGGAGTTGCCTTAGGGTGTTTTGTAGCACTAACTTTTTAATTTCAAATTTCTCATGAAAGTCATCTTCTAGAGACTTTTAAAACTCTTTGAGACGAATGTTTTATAGGGAAATTTGTTGCCTGTATCTCTTCTAATAAAATAGATATATTCAATACAGTAAAAAATATGAATAAATTCAAATTGATTTTATACGAGTTTGAAAAATAACATACCTCCAATTTTTTCATATTATTGAGAATAACAAACGCCCTTTCAAATGCCGTAACAACACTTTTTTTTGTTTGCCTCAACCAGAGATTTTATCATTTAAAAGGGGCATTTTTTTTAGTAGAAAAACGTCGATCACTCTTGATCGGTGAAAGATATTGACCAGCTTTTGAGGCAAAAATTTACAAAAAAGTTGTTTCATACAAAATTGCTCGAAATTAGCTCAGCTAACTAAGCTGCCGAAGAATGTATACCTTAATTTATTCAAACAAAAAAGTTAGATTTTTGATTTTAATGATAAAAAGAATCACCCTAGAATCCATTGTCATAAGAATGAGGGCCAAACTATAAGGAACAAAACTAACTACAGTTTATTCTTAAGTTCAGAATTATCTCATTAGCTGCTTTAAGGTATCATATTATATACATAATTGTTATATGTCAGATGCAAGAAGAGAAGGTTAAGTTTGAGTATGACACATATAACTTGTCAATTTTGGTTTCAGAGGGTCTCTATTAGCGATCCCTGAACTTTGGTTCAGTGATGATAAGGGCGCGTTCTGCCAAGTTGGTCGAGTGATGATTTTTTTTTCCTTTACTTAACGTCGGTCTCTGTTCCGCAATCTAGTGCCAATCACCGACGTACATCGATTGCATCCATTGACGGCAATCGAATGTGCAGGAAGGCAGCTTCCACACCTGCGTAGGATATCGCACCCATTCACAACACACATAGGCCGGGACCAACGGCTTTACTTCCCTTCCGAAGGAAGACGTGACCAGAGATTTTTATGCCTAAGAAAAATCCCACCGACCTCGGCTGGGATTGAACCCAGACCCATTGGGGTGTTAGAAAGCAGTCACGCTTACCACTACACCACCGGCGCCGGCGGTCGAGTGATGATACTAGACATTGTTATGTGCAATTCACTTTAAAAGGTGCGTTTCATATTTCACTACATGTAGTTCCAAAGAGGCTGAATAAAATGTGGCGTTTGCGAAGATCACTTGAAGATACGATATGACGGAAATTGATACTAATTGTATAAAACATAAGTAAATGCTTCTTTTTTGCCTTGATTTGTTTTCCGTGCTGAGCACCAATGCTACCGAGGCCAAAGAGGCAGTTCCCACACCTGGACCCTACCTATCGGCCCATCAATTCATGAACCGGGGACCAACGACTTTACTTCCCTTCTGAAGGAAAGCGTGATCAGAAATGTTTGAACCCTATTTTTTTGCAATTTAAAGGAATGGTAATGGTAGATTCGGTCAAATGCTTTACTGAAGTCAATATAAAGAGCTTCTACGTGCTTGCCATTGTCCATTGTGATAAGAATGAAGGTTAAAAATTTAAAAAAAAAAACTAGAAGTAGCTTTAAAAAAGCCGTGCTGTTTGGTTGTAATTTAATTTTTTAAATTGCTGAAATTTTGTTTCGTTTACGATTGATTCAAAAAGTTTTGGGATGCAAGTGATAATGGCAATTCCACGTTAATTACGGATGTCAGATTTCTTGCCTGATTTGAAAATAGGCACCAAATAAGACGATTTCCACATTTCAGGTAATTTCTCATTTTTCAGAGACATATTGAAAAGGTGTTCTAAGGGAAGGGTGAGTTGTTCTGAACGATTCTTCAAGAATACAGGTGCAATTACGTCAGGTCCTGGTCCTTTAGATGCGTCCAAATTTTCCAGTGCATTGAGGACTTCATGTTGACATATTTGACAGATATGTTGTTAGGGAATGAATGCAAAGAAGTCGCGGTCGCGGTCTTTTTAAGAAAATGTGGTGTATACTTCCTGAATGAAATTTGCAAAAAGATAGCAGATTTCAGAAGGATTTTCACCAACATTTCAATCAAAATGCATTCGTGACGGAAAATTATTACTCTTCAATTTCGTTTTTACTTAATGAATTTACAAAAAAAAAACCACACCGGATAACAATAACAACGATTGGCATCGAACGCATCAACAGAATGGAATTATGCTTAGCAAGCAGAAGTCTAGATAAAACTTGAATTAAGGCGTAACAGCTTTTGTAAACAATGTCTTCTATCTAGACCTGTGCGCCGCTGCGCCACGCCGCCGCCGCCGACGATTTTCATACGCCGCCACCGCCGATGAAATTGAACCGGCGCGCCGCCGCAGTAAAATCGTTCATGTCGCCGAATAAATTTATGTCACGCCGATGAAAAAATCGCAACACCTTTTCGGTAAAATGCATCTTGAACGCGTTGAAATTAGAACTTGTGCGCACGCTCGTTTCATAATTCCGAAAACTAGGAGTTTAGCTGTAATGAAATTTTTCAGCCCTGGTTGTGAGAATGTAAAAATACGAAGTTTGCCTTTCCGTCATAAAAAAATTTGAAAATTTCGAGAGATATCATTCGAAAATTGTGCACATTGCAGCCACCGTGGATGCGGAAATGTACCGCAAATTG